CCATCCTTGGGATCCGCCCACACCGTCAGCGACAGGCTCAGCTGCAGGTCCCAGCCCTCTGCTCCCCTCCGGCTCTGATGCGGCCACAGGGCACACTCAGCCCTTTATTCATCCACTGGTTCTGAGACCAGCACTGGGCCAGGATGAAGGAGACGCTCCAGCAAGTCCCGGCCCCTCCGGTGATGTGTAAGGAAGAGGCACAAAGGCAGGCAGTGCCTCCGGCTCCCCTCCTGTCACCACGCTCCTACACAGAGGGCTGGGGACTGCCCAGTGGGAGGGGCCCATCCCTTAGCATCTGGCACCTCTAGGGTGGGCTTCAGGGCGCACCTGGCCCCATCCTTCCGGCGGGCCTGAGGTGGCATAGCGGTGTACATAGCCAGAGTGGCTGATGTGAGGATCTGGGTTTCTGGGGCTGCCTGTGCCCTGAGCAGCCTCTTGCTTGGTTCTGTGAGATCCTGGCACTGTCGACAGGAGAGGTAGTGGAGCCCCTGGCCTCCAGCGGTGGCGTCGGACTGGGGAGCAGGGAGGAGCCCCAGGGTCACCACCCAGGTTCATTGTCCTTTCCCTTCTGTACAGAGTGCTCCCCGAGGACCCGGGCCAGCGGGCCCTGCCCGGGGCCTGTGGGAAGTAGTTCTCTGTGCTGAGCCATTTTCCAGAAAACGAGGGTCAGGGGTTTCTTACCTATGGCTGCTGGCCTGGAACCGGAGACTCAGATCCCGGGGCTCGAGCTTCTGTTCAAGCTTTGCTTCCTGCTTAGTTCGAGGTGAAGTGTTAACTCATCAGTGGTGCCTTGGCCGGGGGTGGGGGTGCCTCTGAGTGCGCCTGGCCGGCGGGCAGCTGACCCCTCTGCTGGGAGGTGGGACCAGCTGGTGTTTGAGTGCCAGGCATCTTAAAGAGAGGGGCGCCTAAAATGAGGACGTGCAGGCTTCGCACCAACGTTGGCTTCTAAGAGGTGGAGTGGGAGGCTCTCTGCATGTGGCCCTGTGGCGCTGGCAGCCCTGCCAGCCCAGCCTTTGGAATTTGGGGTGCCTGAGCCCATGGTGCTTGGGGCCGTGGTCCCCTCTTACAGGAGGCACAGCCCAGTGCCTTCTTGCAGAAAGCCGTGGAGTCTCTGTGTGTCCCCTGCCCTGGCTGTGATGCAAGTTAGCATTCTGTTAAGCTCACCCCAGCGGACAGTCACCACTGTTCCCTGCTGCTTGTCTCTGCTGAGTCCAGCAAGGAGTGGCCGAGAGCGTCTGCGGCAGCCCCAGGCAGCGAGCGCGCTCCGCACTCCCTCCTCTGTCTGCGGCCCTGACATGTTGCAGGGGAGGTTGGTGGGGATCGCAGGTGGCCCCACCATTACTGGCTCCTGGCAGCCCCAGCACTGACTAACTACAAAACCCTTCCGCCCAGGACGACCCGGGGCCCTGGAGCAGCGAGCCCTCTGTGAAGCTGGGCAGCAGCACAGTGAGTGTCGGCGTGTCATGGAAAATCACTTCGGCCATTGTGTCTCTGGGGGGCTGCCCCCAAAGCCCGCAACGCAGGCCATCTGTGCCCTGTGGGCACCACAGGGACTTTGCCTGACTTGGGAACACCATGTCCCAGCTCGCGCTTTTGGGGTTATAGAAGTTGACTCCGGTGTCAGCGGGGAATACCCAGTGCAGGGGCCATGTGTGCTCGGAGGTGTGCCTGGAACACTGAGGCTGAGCCTCGGGGACTCACAGCTGCCCCTCTTTCACCCTGCCCCAGCAGCTGTCACAGGTCCCTGAAAGGCACTGGACTCTGGGCCTTGCTCAGCCACAGCCCTCCCTGGCATCTCACCAAAGCCGCATCCCCACAGGCTGGGCACGGGCTCAGAGCCATGCTTCCGCTCAGGGGCACAGCAGCACCATGCCAGTGCAGCCCCTCTCTTCTGCTCATGCGAAGCAGATTGACTGGTGCACACACGGGGCCCATCCCATGCCAGTGGTTGCAGCACAGGATGTCCTCAAGGGCGGCCCCTACTCCCTGTACTGTCCCTGAGGTCTGGCGGGGGTCCTGGGTTCCACGTCCTGGAGGGAGGCCCTGGGTGCCGCCCCACACTGGTGGTGGTAGTGACCTGGGTTGGAGTCTGCCTAAATGTGGGTTGGATGCAGATTCCAGCATTTTCCAGCTGTGTGTCCTTGGACACACTAACCCTCTCAGTAACTCAGTTTCTGTCTTTCCTGTCAAATGGGGCAGTAACAGGTGAGTCACAGGCTGCATGGGGAGATGCGTTCTGCCTGTGAAGCCCTTAAGGGCCCCTGCAAGTCCCTGAGGCCATGAGCCACCAAGACCAGGCCCAGGTGCACCAGGCCTGGGTGTGCTCCGTGGCCAGGGTCGAAGTTGTGGTGGTGTGGTCATGCCTGGCTTTTGACAGCGTCAGGTCTGTAACTGGGGAGCCTGTGGAGGAGGTGACCCGCCTGGCTGAGCCATGCCTCACAACCTTGCTGTCTGTCTTGGTCTCTTGAGACCGTGACCTCCCTCCCACAGAAGGTGGTGGTGACCAGGAGACCAGGACCTGATCTGGGCCGACCCGCACCCATCCTTTCATTTGCTGCTGCCCCCGTTGCCATGCCGCAGATGCACACCTAACTGTGACCTCGGTCCCACCCTCTCACTACCTTCCCAGCCACGGTCCGGTTCCCACAGTCGCCGCCCCTGTATCACAGTTAAGCCCGGTAATTGAATTGCAGTTGATGGTACATGTCAGTTTAAGATCGTGCTAAGTGCTTCATTTCCCAGAACAGTCTGAAACAGAAGATGAATTCTCTTGCAACATTTTGCAGTGGGGTGAAATGACCCTCATGGAAATCAGTCCCAGCTCTGGAATGAGCTGCTGACTGGACGGGCGTGCCAGGGCAGGGGTCACAGCAGGCCTGAAGGAGCTTCCCCTGGACTGGGCTGGAACCCAGCCATGTGCCAGGCGCTCTGTGAGAAGGGTTGGTTTTGTTTGGGTGATGAGTGAGCAAACCTGGCTTGAGGTGACCGGGCTTGCCCAGGCCCATGCAGCTGGCCAGTGGAGGAGCCATCCCGGGTGCAGCGTGGCAGTCAGGGAAGGAGCGGGCATCTGGCCCTGGGCAGGCGCCTGAGTTCAACTCTTCCCCTTTCTGAGAGGCCCTGGAGGTCACGGGATTGCTTGAGCCCCCGCTCCCTGCTCTGTCAGATGGGTGCTAGGATGCCCCTGGGTGGGTGCAGGTGTGACGGGTACGGTATGTGCCCTGCCTTAGGCATGGCACAGGTGTGTGCTCTGAGCACGCTGTGGCCACATCCCTGAGGATCATCAGGGCCACTGGATGGCAAAAGGAGTTAGGGTAAAGATAGACAGCACGGAAGACGCAAGAGGCCAGCACAATATGCCAGGTCCTCCTGGGCCGCGTTTCTGTTCCTTTCCCTGTTTTCTGGCTTCATAGCCACTCAGTCCTTAGATAGCAGTGGAGCCACCATCCACGTAGCCACTCATTGACCCACCCACCCCCCTGTCCATCATCCGTCCACATGTTGTTCATTCACTCTTTCATCCTTTCACCCGCCCACCTATCCATCCATCCATCCATCCATCCATCCACCCATCCACCCACCTACCCACTCACCCACCCATCTGCCCAACTACTCACCCACCTATCCATCCATCATCCACCCACCCATCTTTCCAACTACCCACCCACCTATCCATCCATCATCCATCCACTCACTCACCCACCCACCTTTCCACCCATCCACCCATTCATCCATCCATCTTTCCAACTACCCACCCATCCATCCACCCACCCACCCATCTGTCCAACTACCCATCCATCCATCCATCCATCCACCCACCTATCCATCCACCCACCCACTCACCCATCTGTCCAACTACCCATCCATCCATCCACCCAGCCACCCATCTACCCACCCATCTCTCCCAACTACCCGTCTGTCTATCCATCCGTCCATCCACCCTCCTACCCACCCACCCATTTATCTACCAACCCATCTGTCCATCCAACTACGCATCCATCCATCTATTCATCCATCTACCTGCCCACCCATCCACCCATTCATTCATTAACCCACCCACCCATCTGTCCAGATATCCACCCATCCATCTATCCACTCATCTGTCCAACTACCTATCCATCTACCCACATCCATCTACCTATCCACCCACTCATCCATCTACATAGCCCTCTGTCCAACCACCTGTCTGTCTACCCATCCACCCAACCACCCATCCATCTACCCACCTATTCATTCATTTATCTATCCATCCACCCACCCACCCATTTATCCATCTACCCACCAATCCATCACCCACCCATCTATCAATACACCCATCCATCCATCTAGCCATCTATCCATTTACCCACCCCCCATGTATCCATCCACCCCCACACGTATTCACCCACCCCCCCATCCACCCATTCACAATTCCATTTGTCAACCCACCTATCTACCCATCTATCAGTCATCCTCCCATCTACCCATCCACCCTTTTGTCCACTCCACTGAACCTGTTTCTCCCTCTATTCTTTAGGGTTTGCTGGGCAGTGCTGCTGCACAGAGAGGGGAAGGTAGACCCTTCTGTCCGGGAGTCCCCAGGCAAGTGGGATGGGGTATCTGCCTTCGACATTCGCTGCTCTCCTGCAGTCAGGCCTTTACAGTGCTGAGGGTGCTGTCCTACACTAGACTACAAATCCTAGGGGAAGGCTCCGGGGCCTCTGTACCCAAGGAAGCAGCTCTCAGCCCCTGGGACACCTGGGGAGCTTGGGGCTTGGCCTGAGAGTCAGGAGACGGAGAACTCAGATCCCTGCTCTGTCTCTGACTTTTGGGGTGACCCCAGGCTTGCCCCGGGCCCTTTCTGGGCCCAGCCATACCTCTGTCACAGGAAGTGGCCAGACCAGCTGGTTCCTGATTCTGCAGGTGCTTCCTGGGCCTGCCCCAGCCTCGATGGGCACTCTCAGGTGCCCTGGGCATCTGCCCCACAGCCCTGCTCCTGACGTGGCTCTGTCTTGTTTCCACAGAGCAACTTGCTGGATGTGAATCAGATCATCAAGGACTTGGCCTCCATGGTGTCGGAGCAAGGAGAAGCTGTTGGTGGGTACCCTCCCCAGCCTCAGGCCACCTGCTGCCCTGAGGGCCTGTCCGCCAGCCCCTGGCCCTCACCCCTTCCCCTAAGTGTGCCTGCTACTGCCAGGAGCCCTGGCTCTCAAGCCAGGGGGGGGCAGGGGCTCCCAACTCTGGCTGGGTGTCTCTTTTCCTCAGTTGAGGAAGAGCCAGTCTGCCCCTGGTGCCCACAGGCCTTTGGTTAAAGCACTCAGCTGCCCACCAGGACCCTCAGGCCCTGCCCCACCCACCCACTCTCCCTCCATGCCATGGGCAAGCTGTGGCCTCACCTTGGACCTGTGCTGAGAACAGCCTCCCGGGCCCTCCTGCTCTGACGACTGGCAGTAGGTCCAGAGACCCTCAGGCAGCTGGCTGGGTGAGACCCTCGAGCACCTCCTGGGTGCTTGCCTCTCAGTCCCCTGGGAGCCTGGGCTTCCAGCTTCTCTGTGGCTGCAGACAGTGCTCCCTCACCGCCTCCTGTCCCCAGGACCCCTCCTGTCTCCTCGTCCTCCCTCATTCTCCCCACTGGCAGCTTCCAGCGGTGGCTGAAGCTGTTTCTGCCCCTGGCCAGCTGTCTCGGGCTGGGATGTGCTGACTGTGTGGAGGGGTTCGTCCTCTGTAGGTACCTACCAGTCCTGGTGACGGATGGACCGGGAGGGGCACTCCTGCCAGCAGTTCAGGGAAGGGAGCAGTCGTGGGGAGGGGACAAACCAGGGCTGACCCGCCACATGTGATCAGGGCTCCAGGGAGGGCAGAGGGCACCTGCCAGGTGGACAGGCGGGAGGCCCAGAGAGTAGCTGAGACACAGGGGCCTTGCTATCGGGGATGCCGGCTGCCTGTGTGGGGCGCCGACGCGAGGCCTGGCCGCTGTGCTCGGACACGGGGCTGCGATGACCAGGACCCCAAGCCTGGCGGTGCTGCTCTCCCCGAGATCTCTGCCCCCGCTCAGCCTCTGGTGTCTTTCCAGGGTCCAGCGGCAGCACCGCTACGTGCCGGCAGAGCTGCAGCCCCGAGCCAGCCGTGGCCCTGCGGTCGGGTGCTGGGATGGGCCCCACGCCCCCACGGCCGGGCCCCCACTCCCGGACCAAGACGCGCAAGCCCAACTTCAGCCCACAGGAGACGGAGGTGCTGGTGCAGAGGGTGAGGCGCCACTACCCGCTGCTGTTCGGGACCCTGAGGGGCACGCCCGCCCGGAAGCACCGCGTGTGGAACCGCATCTTGCAGGCGGTGAATGCGCTGGGCTACTGTCGCCGAGACCTGGGCGACCTCAAGCACAAGTGGCGGGACCTGCGGGGCGCTGTGCGCAAGAAGCTGGCGGAGGGCGCTGTGCCCGGCCTCATCCTCACGCCTGTGGAGCGCGTAGTGGCAGAGACCTTTTCCACCCACGGTCCCCAAGGCCAGGGCCAGGCCACAGAGCCCCTGCCAAGTAAGTGGGCCCTCCCCACAGCCCGCCCCAGGACCACCCTGCCACAGGGTGAGCAGGGCTGGCGAGGGGGCTGCGAGCCTCCTGCACCAGCTCCCGAGAGGGACATCCTCCCAGGGGGACCCAGAAGCCTGTGGAGATGGCCTGCCATCCTCCTGCCCCTCTCGTCTTTTAGGGCCAGGGACGGGTCTGCCTGCCTGGGGAGTGCAGGGGCTGCGGCTCCCGCCTGGATCCTAGCTCTGGGTCTGCCCAGCATTGCCAGGCATTGTGGCACCAAGGGGCTCGACTGTAGACGCCACCTTAAGCCGTGCCCACCAGGTGTCCAGATGGGACGCCGGGGCCCAGTTCCATGTCACTGTAGCAAGTGAGCGCCACGATGGGGAGGGAGTCACAGGTGGTCGCTGGGACCAGTGCCTAGTGAGGAGAAGAGGGCAGAGCTCCCCAGTGCGCAGCAGCAGCAGCAGCGGGTGCCACCCAGGGTGCCCTGGTGCCCTTCAAGCCCCCACCTCAGCCTCTGGTGTTCCCACCTGTTGTCATGTGGCCTGACCTTTCTATCCACACACGGCCCTCCTCTCCCGAGTGCAGTCAAGAGGTGGACACAGCTGTCCTTAGGCAGCCAGGTCTTCTATACCAGCGGGTCCCCCACAGGGAGAACACCCCATTTTCCTGTGCAGGGCCGCAGGGTCCAGCTGGCCACAGGGTCTGAAGACAGGCTTTTTGGGAGGAAGGAGGGCTTCCCTCTGCTCTCCCCCAGCCCCAGAGCCCCAGGCGGAGGGGGGGGTGCTGCCAGGAGAAAGCAAGGCCAGCCCGCAGGTGGGAAGCGCCTCAGCCCGGATGCGCCTCCAGCCGGCTGACCCTTGCCGTGGCCCCCAGGGAGCAGGAGGTGACTTGCCCTGTTCCTTGGTCACTATTGAGCAGCTTTGGCAGAGCCAGGGAGGAGCCTGGGCCCCAGCTGGGCTCCTTCCCCCACTAATGCTGTGCCTCGCTCTGGCGTGCGGCGGCTTCCCCCTCCTTCTGCTGGCTCGTCCCTCTGGGCACGCAGCCCCCCGGGACACACTGTGCCCCACTCCGAGCCCACGGGCCCACTCCAGGGACCACTGACACTAGGTGTTTCTCTGCTCGGCTGGGCCTCGTCTGTGCTCGCAGCTGCCCCTGGCTCCGAGGGCGACGCTGGCTCCGCCCCTCCTCCCCGCCGCCCCCGCCCCTCCTCCCGCTGCCTCTGCCCCTCCTCCCTCTGCGTCTCCCGTCCTCCTCAAGACACCGCTCCAGGAGCTCCTTCGCCATCCTCCACACGTGGTGGCCCACGCTTCAAAGCACAGCGCTGCTGGACTCTCGCCTTCCTAGGAGCTGCTGGAAGGGCTTTGGGGGCGAAGCCCCAGAAGCAGGACCAGCTTCGTCTTGAGGGCCGCAGAGTGGGCAGAAGGACTCAGCCTCATGGGACAGGCAGGGGCTGGCCTCAAACGCCCCTTCTGGTGGCCATGGCAGAATTGGAGCCTGGGCCAGCCTCAGCTGCTCCTGCTCATGGCAGTGCACAAGGCTGGGACCCATGGGGAGAGTGAGCTGGGCTGGCTGAGAGGTGCCACCAAGCCTGTGGCTGGCCTTGGACAAGGGACCTGGCTGTGGGTCTTGGGCGATGGGCCTCGGCACTTGGCCTCTTGATGGGCCTTAGGGATGAGCCTGGTGGGTGGGCCGCTTCATGGGGTGGGGCTGGAGGAGGACCCGTGCAGGCCAGGAGTGACTGTATCCACCTCCAGGGAGGCCACACACTCCTGCAGGGCAGGGCCTTGCAGCTCAGGGTTCTACGGGCAGAGGCAGGCCTGGTTTGGGGGGTGCTTCAGGGCAAGGGTGGACCTGCGGTGAGGGGCTGAGAGAGAGGGGTCCAGCACGGGTGGAACTGGTGTGGCCTGGGCATTCAGCCCTTTTCCGCAAGTCCCCGCTCTGGAAGCTGCGAGAACTCAGGTTTGCCCACCTTGCGGTTCCCTGCCCTAGACTGAGACCCAACCTCGACTTCTGAGCCCTGATGGAGCAGCCCCACCAGGGTCTGGCGCAGTCGGGGAGAGGGTCCTTGCGGCCTTCCTGCTCCACCTCCCGTGCCGGCTGCTGGCATACGGCGTGGTGTCCATCCTAGGTCTGGGGACTGTGGAGGGCACTTTGTGGTTGGGGCAAGTGGGCGGCTCAGAGGGAGCAAGAAGAAAGCTCGGGCCTTTGTTTTCTTGAAATGAGACTTGGAGCCGCCTTGAGGACCAGCCACTCACTGGGCCTTGTTGCTGACTTGCAGTCACCCCAGGAGGACCTGACAGGTCAGGCTGGCTGGGGGCCACGGCCCAGCTGGGATGGAGGCCCGGCCACCATCCTCCCGTCACCGTCTCTTCCCACTATGGCCGGGTGCTCCTAGCTAGCCCTGACGGGCAGAGATGACCATGCAGAGCCTGTTACTCAAGGAGTAACCAGGGGCCAGGCAGGCTGGACGTTCAGTCCCGCAAGGTGAGGGTGGCATGGGCCACCGTGGGAGCGCAGAAGACGCCCTGGGCCATCAGGGGCTGGGACAGAGGAGCGGGGGCAGTGCTGGCAGATGGGACAGTACGATAAGTGTGAGGCTGGCAGATGGGACAGTACGATAAGTGTGAGGTCGGCTGCGGGAGCAGCCAGGTGAGCAGGCGCGATGAAGGGGAGCCGCGTCCTGGGAAATCATGGCTGTGGCTGCAGAGCGTCCTCACTGCTTCACGGGTGTGAGAGGAAGAGGGGGGCCGCAGCCAGAGCCATGCAGGGACTCCAGTGGGTGGAGACGGAGGGGAAAGGCCAGGGCCGCCTTGGGCCTCCACTGGAGGCCCGGTGCAGGCACCCCTGCGGGGGGAGTGTGTGGTAATGGGGAGGCTGGGCCCCTCCCCCTCTCTCTGTCAGGGGCCATTAGACTCAGAAGGTCGGGGTCACCAAGGGTCCGCCCCTGTTGACAGCTGGTGAAAGCCAGGCTGGGAGACTTGGCAGAGGCTGTGCCAAGGTCATCGCAGGATCAGGGCAGAGGCAGGGCTGGGGCTGGGTCTCCTGGCACCAGCTCCAGGCTCTTCGGCCTCAGCCCCCCGGCCACCATCTCCTAGCCACTGAGCGCAGCTAGGCCCAGGGGCCTCCAGGAAGCGGAAGGTGGAGGCTCTGGTGGCGGGCAGCAGACTCGCCAGAAACTCAGGGCCACAGCACGCAGAGGACCTCATCCCAAGAGGAAAGCCACCAGCTGGCAAGATGACCCCTCCCAAGCACCCGGGGACCACCTGGTCAGAAGCAGCACCCATGCCTGGGGCGGCAGGAGGATGATGGGACAGTGAGGAAGAGGAGGAGGAGGAAGAGGAAGAGGAGGAGGAAGAAAAAGGAGGAGGAGGAAGATGAGAAAGAGGAGGAGGAAGAGCAGGAAGAAGAGGAAGAGGAGAACGAGGAAGAGGAGGAGGAACGAGGAAGAGGAGGAGGAAGAGCAGGAGGAGGAGGAGGAAAGGAAGGTGGTGGCAGCTGGGCCAACCACCTGTGCAGTGGATACCCTGCCACGTTCCCAGTGAGCCTGTGGCCTCAGTCCCCGCAGAACAGGCACCGCCTACACTGCAGAGGAGGTGGGCAGGGCTTAGTCACCTCTGTATAGACCGTCCTGCTCCTGCCGGCGAGGGGGCCCCCCCACGGAGTGTCAGGGAGGGACATGCGTTGCCCATCCTCCATGCCCAGGGAACTGGAAGGGTCAGAGATCCCACACTTAGAGACTCTGAAGCCTTGCCTTTCATACGCAGCCTGGGAATCGGAGGCCTGCCGAAGAGGTGTTTTCCAGGGTCACACAGCTGTTGAGACCAAGCAGAGCTGGCCTCGGAGCCCACGTCTGCCGAGTCTCGGGTTCAGCTCTCCCTGTTGCCCTAGGGGAGCTTAATCCTCTCATCTTCCCAGGGACATCACTTGGGTGGATGGGTGCCTGCTGGACAAAGGGATGGCCAGATGGATGATTGGAAGGATGGATGCACGTGTGAGCGGATGGAAGGATGAGGTGTAGACGGGCGGGTGGCTGGGTGGATGGGAGGATGAGGTGTAGACGGGCGGGTGGCTGGGTGGATGGGAGGATGAGGTGTAGACGGGCGGGTGGCTGGGTGGATGGGAGGATGAGGTGTAGATGGGCGGGTGGCTGGGTGGATGGGAGGATGAGGTGTAGACGGGCGGGTGGCTGGGTGGATGGGAGGATGAGGTGTAGACGGGCGGGTGGCTGGGTGGATGGAAGGATGAGGTGTAGACGGGCGGGTACACAGAGACTGCATGGATAAGTGGGGGAGTAGTCTGATGGATGGATGAACAGAAGGAAGAAGAGGATGGAAGGGGGATGGCTGGCCAGGGGCGAACACAGCGGCGGACAGGTAGGTGAGTGGCTGAAGCGGCATGTGTGTGTGGAGGAATAAACACAGGGGTGGCAGATGGCAGTTAGAGCTGTGGGCAGCGGGCTGACCACAGGGCAGTCGGTGGAGGATGAACACAGGGAATGCTGTGTTGGCTGGGTGTGCGGGCCACTTGGACAGGCCGTGACTTCAGTCCCAGCCCTACTAGAGGAAATGTGCCCATCTCTGGGTCTTTTTCCTCATCTCTCAAATGGGCACAGCTCCCACTGCAGAGGGGCGTCATGAGACCCAAACAACTCCAGGTTCAGAGGCCTCCCATGGGCACGCTCCCTGCGCCTCCCTCACGTCCTGGATCACTGGGTCTTAGACGTGCCGCTGACCTTTCCCTCTTTCTCTCTGTTAGCCGACGAGGACGAGGCCCCCAGCTGCTTGTGGCTGCCCCTGGGGAGCCTGGAAGGGCCCAGCCCGCCTGAACCTGACCCCCTGGACTCACGAGGCGTCTTCCACGCACCCACCTCTTCACCCTCCCCACCCGCTTCCCCAGCCTCCACCCCAGGAGCAGCCACACTCACAGGGTCCTTCCAGCCCCCCCCACCCTCCTCAGAGCCAGCACCGCCCTTGCCCTCCGGGAGGACCCCAGGGGCAGCACCTGAACCTTCGGTGTTTGAGCAGCGGCTGCTGGACTCGCAGCGGCGGCAGGGTGCCCTGCTCTCCTCCTGGGCCCAGCAGCAGAGCGCACTCATGGCCCAGCAGAGCCTGCTGCTGCAGCAGCTGGCCGAGCAGAGCCAGCGTCTGGCCGATGGTGTCGAGGCCCTCCACCGGACCCTCGAGAGGCTGGTGGGAGCGCATCCCACCGGGGAAGCCTCACCCTCACTCCGGGACGGTGGCCCTGCTGGTGGAGTGGCCCAGGGGCCTGCCAGAGACTCCCAGGACAGCCCCCAGGGTGCCCACGTGGGGCTCGAGGTCTTCTCAGGGATGATCCTGAAGGTAGAGGAGGAAGTATAGGGCTGGTCAGGGGTGCCGGCAGAGCCAGAGGGTGGGGGCAGGGTCTCCAGTCTTACCCCTGCTGAGGCCAGGCAGGGGAGAGATGGCAGTGACTGGGTCTCCAGGGCACTGGGACGGCTTGAGTCCAGGAGATGGGAAGGACGAGAGGACATGGCTGTGTACCTGTGGTGCCACACCCTTGGCGTTGCCTGTGGAGCGTGGTGACCTGCGGGGAAGGGCTGCGGAGAGCCGACCTGTGGGGCCCAGCAGGCCAGGTCTACTCAGGGACTGTGCTTTGGAGGCTCCACCCCGTGTGGCCGTGGCTGTGAACTCTGCAGCCCAGCGCCCCTGCCAGCAGCCGGTGGCAGAGCCTGGGAAGATGTACTCGGGGGCCCCTGGGCACCGGAGCTCTGGAAAGGGGGCTTGGCCAGGCCCTAAGGTCCCGATTGTGACCTGGCTTGACTCCCGAAGGTCCCTGTCCCCTTTATGGGCGTTTACACTTGGAGGGCCAGGCTCCTACGCCCTACCTGCTTCTGGCCCAGGGGAACCACAGCTCGTGAGCTTGGAATAATTTCTCTCCAATTTTCTCTCTCTGTATATATATGCCATATATTATTTGGTGCTGTATGGGGCTGGGATGACGTTTTGTACCTGCAGACTTTTCTTGCAAAAAGTATTTTTTTACATAAGCATAAAATAACAAAGCAGGTGGCTGTGCAGCTGCTGGCAAGCACGGGAGCTGGAGCCTGCTCCTCGGGCCTGGGGCGCCGCTGCTTTCAGCCGCCCTGCAGGGGCCCCAGCACTTCCTGCGTCTTCAGACCCTTCTTCCTCTGTAACCTCCTCTGACTCCTGGGAGATCCCTCGGCGGGGCTGCCCTGTCTCCGGTCCCTGCACAGCAGGGCACAGTCTGCAGTCCCCCAGCCTGGGCAGCTGTTGGGGGCAGCAGGAGCGGGAGGTGGGGCCCGCCCGGGCCTTGACTGGTCTGGGACCTCCAGCGTCTTCCTCTGCCGGCCTCTGCCTGGCTCCCGTGGCCCAAAGCCTGTCCCAGGAGCGAGATGCTGACAGGCTGTCCTGAGCAGGAGGCATGCTGATCCGGGGAAGCTCCAGCACAGCCCAGAGTCAAGACTGCAGCATCCCTGAGAGCAGGAAGAGGGGCCTCTTCCTCGTTTGGTGTTTTCCTCTGGGGCCAGCATCGTGCCAGTAACTTTCGTCTGTGGAAGAACCCAAGGCATAGCCACACGTGCAGCCGGTCTCCCTCCAGGCTCCTGACTCTGAGTGCACAGCTGCCGCTGCTGGTTCTGGGTGGGGCCTCCACTCTGATGCTTCCACCTCGGAAAAGCCGGCCTTCCATCCTGCAAAACCAGGTGACCTTAGTGCCACCACCTCCAAGAAGCCTCTTTAGATCTTCATTCTGGGTTCTTGTCCACTGAAAATACCCACCATAGGCCAGGCACACTGGCTCATGTCTGTGATCACAGCACTTTGAGAGGTTGAGGCAGGAAGGCGGCTTGAGGCCAGGAGTTTAGACCAGCCTGGGCAACACAGCAAAACCTCACCTCTACAAAAATAAAGCTCAATAAATAAAGGTGCCCTGCACGGCTAACAGTGGCCCTGTACGGCGTGTGTGTTTTCTGTCGTGTGTTACAGTCTACTCTGGTTTTGGCTGAGCCCTGGTCCTGGTCACATACTGTTGGAAACCGATGCTCCATGCCACAAAGAAAAATCAGCACTGAGACAAAGGATGCCTTAGCAGGCAATTTTTGCTTCCTGGACCGCAGGAAGGCTGCCCTCATTGGCCATCTTAGCACGAGAATACAACAAACAAAGGAAAACAGACACAGTTATTCCTTATGCATTGGGGTCCTCACTGCTGTGTCTGATCTCCACTGGCTGGAGCCAGACCTCACCATCTAAATTAAAACCCGATTGGCTAACAACTTGAAACTTTTCTAAACAGGTAAAAGCAGTGGAGAGCTGGGACATGCCTGTGAGCACGTCCAGCACCGATATCCTGGTTAAAGTACAAGGACGTAGAATGTGCTACGTGCCTGTAAGCGTGGCAGGTCTAACAGCTACATAGGATAGGGCTCAACAAAGAGTTATTAGCACACTTATGATTTATTCTTTAACAAGAAAGGAAACTTTAAAGAGGAATTTTTCTGCTTTCTACATATGCTGAACCCCAATCCTCACCCCACACTGTCCTGACCGCAGTGGCACATTGAGCCCTGACCCTGGTCCTGCACTGTGTCCTGACCCCGTTACGCATTGAGCACTGATCCTGGCCACCGACTCAGCCCTGATTCTGATCACACGCTTAGCCTGGTCCTAGTTACACGCTAAGTTGTGACCCCAGCCCTGGTCCTGGTCAGTCCAGACGTCTGGGAGTATCCCCTGGGCTGAGCCTTTACTAAATGCTGAGGATACAGAAGCAGCGAAGGCAGCCTGGGGGCCTCTCCTCCCAGAGTTTAGCGTGTGCTGCAGAAAATGCATAGTAAGCAAGTCAATACATACTTGACAAAATTTATTTTGTGTAAGTTAAAAATCGGTATAACTGCATTTGGTAGGAAACAGAATAGTGTGTCTTAGAGCAGATGGGCATCATGGCTCCTCCATCACTGACATCAACGACCTGGAGTTGGCAAGGCAGGGCCACAGTCCTCCGAGGTCCAGGCGTCTTTCTGCTCCCTTCTCTGCTGTGGTCCTCACGGCCCAGGACGGCTGCAGGACTCCCCCCATCACACTTGGGTTCCAGGTAGTCGGGTGTGGGGAAGGACGGCTGCAGGACTCTCCCATCACACTCCCTTGAAGGAGACCTCTGCGTGCATCTCAGCCCATCGCCTGGGAGTTAGTTGGATGCCCACCTTTAGTTGCAATAGAAGCTGGAAAGCAAAACCCAAATGGGGATTTTGTTACCAAACAGAAGGGGCTGGATGTTGGGGTAGGCAGCGGGCAGTCTGCCAAGCTGGGGCGTTGACGGGGCTGGGACATCACAGTCTGGAGTGTCACAGGCCTCCCTGCAGGAGGGACAGCAGAGGCCTCCAAGGCGATGTGGCAGTCATCACTGCAGCCAGCGAGGGGCAGGAAGAGCTAGAAGGACCCCAGGCGGAGAAGACCAAGGGCCTATTGGGGAAGCGCCAACTCTGCCTCCGCTCTGTGAATGAGGAGCAGGGACTCCAGAGCTTAGGGTCCGAATGGGCAAGTCCTGGTCCGTCTCTGCACAGTACATGCCCTTTGCGCTCTAGGCCAGTTTGCCGAGAGGTGGTCAGATGCCAAGAGGCCAGGGAGGAGCATAGCCAGGAGAGCAGAGAGGCATCATGGAGTGAGGCTCCGTCGTCCAGCGGGTGCGTGGAATGGCAGGCGGCACACGGAGGGCAGAGGCCGTGCCTGGCCTCAAGAGCAAGGGCATTTCTGGATGAAAGGAGAGCCAGGAGTGTTGCCCTCAGACCTGGGCGTGGAAACCCCTTCTCTTGGATGGGGGCAGGGGTGGCCTCAGGTCTCCCAGGAAGGAGACTGCGGTCTCAGCTTAAACAGTAGCCATTCAGGATCAGCACTTTTGGCAAAGGAACGTTCTTAGCAGGTGTGTGAGACGGAGGCAACCAGGAAGACCCTGAGGTTGCTGACCTGCCCAGATGGGATTTCACTGTGATTCACGTCCACACTGCTCACCTTGGGGCCTGGGCTTCCTGTACTTCCCTCTGCCAGGCAGCCCAAACGTTTCCCATGAGTGATTAGGAGGATGGTGGGTCTGTGATGAGAAATATGATGTGGCATTGTGATGGAGCTTGCCTGCAGGGCTTTCCAAAACATGTTTCAGAAAGGATGCCAGAGAGTGGCTGGGATGGTTTCTGTCAGAGCTAGAGAGCCCAGGTCCCATCACTGGGTCCCCCACTTTACAGACACACTGAGAGCCCAGGGTGCTGGTGGAGCTGTAGGGTCCTGTCCGGGTCACAGAGTGCTAGAGGCAGGCCTTGAACCAGGCGTCTGGATTCCAAGTTCACGCCCCTTTCCTATGCCGCGTGCATTCCAGGTGAGTGAGGACAGTTTTCAGGTGCCTCATCCATCTGGCTCTAATGAGCCCGGCCAGCTTGCCTGCCCTGCAGGATCTCAGAAAATGAGGAAGTTTCTGCGGATACGCTCCTGGGGAATGGTGGACCGGACAGTCAGAAGGGCTGTCCCATGATACAACTTAACCTGGAAGACGCCGTGGTCTTAGATGTTTTGCTGGCTTTAGGGATGAGCCGGTAGCTGAGGTCTTGCCCCTCTCTCCATCTCCCCTCCCCAGTCTAACGTGCCAGTGTGGGAAGTTAAGGAAAGCTGGGCTTGCCCTGAGCCCCAGTAAGCACCAGGTCTACCTGTGGATCCAGGGTCCAAGCAGAAGGTTCTGGAGAAAAGATCCCTCGTCAGGCCTTTGGTGTACCCACAGCAGCAGCAGAAGAATCTCTTGGGCCTCCAGTTGGAAATCACTTGGTCTGTAATGGGGCAGGCTGTTGAGGGAGAACCAGGAGGAGGAAGAACAAGAGCAAAAACACCAAGTTTAGACCCCAAAAGACTCCAGCTTTCGGATTAACCAGGCACATGATGTGATTTCTGTGAAATATTTTTTAAAATAAAAAGATGAATCATAAAAATGAGCAATAAGGTTCTAAAAAGTGATTAAGCCGATCTGTGAAAGATCAGTGTGGCCTTTAGAAATGGAAAACTTTCTGGATGGGTTAAGCAACATGCTGGACATAGATGACGTTAGTAATAGCAAACTTGAAGATTTCTAAAGAAATAATAATATTGCAGAGAAAGGTAAGAAAATAGAAACTATGACAGAGATTAAGGGATGGGGAGAGTAGAACCAGAGATACGTACGTCGTCTTGGAGTCCCAGAAGAGGAGGAGCAGTGAAGTGGAGAAAAGACACCGTTGATGTGACCTGTGATTCCACGGACCCAGGAGGCACTAGCCTGCTGAGCGCATAAATGAAAAGAAATCCCTTCCGGGATAATCATGAGGAACTGTGGAACAGCACAGAGAGAGGGAAAGCCTTTCGAGCAGTTTCAAAGAAAGGAGAACTGATGAGTTTTGCTGCCAGCTCACTTTACATCAGCAGCAGAAGAAGCCAGGAAATGGTAATATCTACAAAGCATCGAGAGAAAGTCAGTGTCAACTTAGAATTCTGCAGCCGACAAGACTAAACAATAAAGGTGAAATACAGACAGTCTGTACACACAAAGACTTTGAGAGCCTGTAGACCTTCATGAAAGGGGTTTCCAAGAGATGGACTTCCAGGTGAAGGACTGGAATCCCAGAAAGAGTATCTGTAATGCAGGAAGACGAGTGAGCCAAGAAATTTGTAAATATGTGAGTAAATCCAAATACTCATTAAGATTTTAAAAAGTCCGTAATTACTAGAATGTCTAACTTGTGGAACTGAATTTTTATAAAGGATGGAACTACTGGACGATGATAGTATATTAATTGGAAAGAACTGTTCAAATATTCTGAGCTCCTGGTATTATTTGCAGGGAAGTTAAACATTGATTAATATGTTAGCCTGTGCTAATAACTGCACATCATAAAAAAGCTCAAGGGTTCCTTCATCAAAGCTGGAAACTCCTGCTCTGCAAGAGATCCCGTTAAGGTTATGAAAGAGAAGCCAGTGACTAGTAGATTATATTTGCAAATCCCATATCTGATAAAGGATGTATCCGGAATATATAAAAAGGTCTCTAATTTCCACGGAAAGAAAACAGTTCTATCAGAAAATGCACAAAAATTTGATCAGACACTCACCAAAAAGGATATATGGGTGGCAAGTGAGCACATGAAAAGATGTCCCTCAGCAGCAGCCGTCAGGAAGGTGCCCACTAAACCCACACCGCCGTGCCACCGTGTGCCCCCTAAAGTGACTAAGAGGTACAGGGATATGGAGAAATGACTCACTCCTGCAGTGCTGGTGGGAATGTAAAATGTTACAGCCACTCTGAAAAACAGTTGTAGTTTCTTTAAAATGTAAACATTACACTTCCTATACAGCCCAACAGTTTCACTCCTGGGCGTTTATCCTAGAGAGAGAAAAACTCATGTTTACACAAAAACTTACACACAAATGCTCGTCGTATCTTTTCTTTCTATATATTTTATTGCATCATCGTATCTTTATTTGCAGTACCCCCTAAGTGGAGAAGCCCAGGTGTGCCTTTCCGTGTGGTGAGCGGGTAACCAGACTGCCACAGCCACACAGTAGACCTCTGCCCAGGAACACAAGGAACCCACTCGGAAATGCCAGCAGCTCGGATAGTTCTCATGGGTGTCGTGCTTGGTGAAAAGGCCAGTCTCAAAAAGGCCGTGCTTTGTGACTCCATCTCTGTAACATGGCAAAGGCTGAAGGAGAGCCTTGGGGTGATGGGACAGTTTTGTATGTTGAACGTGGTGCTGGTGACATGAATCTACTACATACGTGATAAAATTTCATAGAGCTATACACATAAAAAAACCAAGTAGAAAGTAAATAAGAAACTTAAGGCTAAGGTAACCTAAAACAAGACTATTAGAACATAGAACTTCCAAGCCAGTAAAAATGTCATAAGAAAACGATTGAATTAAAAACTTTGTTGA